TCTGACTTCACTGCATCTGCAGACTACGAGAGAAGAGCTTGCTGACATTGGATCCAGACTCGACTTTTGCACTTCAGACATTGCAACGAAGGACTAATTGGGACTTGTGACAAAGACTTGGTGTTGACAACATTCCCATCTATCCCTCTCCTCTTCGTCTGATTCCCTCCTCTCCGTTTGTGTATGTCTGGACCTGGCGCTTCCTTCCTGTGTACAGCGCCAAGCTCCTTCGCACTTGGTGATGGACACGATGTATGTTTGGTCTGCGTTCAAACATTGATTGGGCTAGTCATTAGCATTCTAGCATTCTGCTTCGCTAGCTTGTACTACGTGAATGAGGTCAGTCCCGGTCAGGTCAGGCTTTGTATCTAAGTCTTTCGTGCGCTATTCAGCACCCTTTTGTATGTATGAGAATGTACATTGCTTGTTGAGATTCTACTTGCACTGCATTGTCCATTCGGTCCTTTTTATCACATTGCGGATCCTCGGTTATTATGTACATCGCCCATCTAGGCATGTAACACGTGCCACGACCAGGTTTCAGCGTCTTCCTCCCAGTGAGCTAGCTTCCCATGACTTACTAACATCATCCAGTCCCGTAACTACTTACGCGAGATCGGCGCCTTTGTTGACACGAGTTGGAGAGCTGACATCAATCGATAAAAAAAATACTCGCATAGCTTGCACAAAGTGCATCTCCCTGAGAAGTCCATCTCTCTCGCTCTCTGATCGCGGTGGAGACCTGCATGCCTCCTCCATGTGCTCCCACAAAATCCGCCTTTGGTGGGACTTCTTTCTCTCGCTCGTACTCAGCACAGTGCATTCGCATTCGCTATGCCCGACATCGAGAAACACATAAATGCACACGACTGTTTGTAACATCCATAGTGAGCTCCTCTACCGTACATAAGTCACACTCTTGCCCCGCAGTACCGTAACTGCTCGCCCTTGGCTCATTGCTTCTGTCGTCGTGAGCTGCCCTCCGAGCCTTCCTCTACCTGTCCAGTTGGAGGGTAATCTCTTCGCCACTAGTCCAGCCCGTGCCAGGATTGGGTTTCAACACCTTCCTCCTAGTGAGGTAGCTTCCCATGACTTATTGACGACATCATCCAATCCCGTAACTATTTGTGCAAGATCAGCGCCTCTGTTGACACGAGCTGGAGAGAACTTCAATCGAAAAAAGGAAACCTTGCATAGCTTGCGCACAGTGCATCTCCCTGAGAAGTCCCCTCTCTCTCCCTCTGATCGTGGCAGAGACCTTGCCTGTAACTGCCTAGCAGTCTTGGTCCGTTTGCTTTCTCGAGCTGGACTCCGGGCCTTCTTCCATAGAGCAGCGGTCCCGCTGCCACTGCTCTAGTCCATACCAAGGCCGAGCAGTGGCCCCACTCGCTTCGGACTCTGCTTCGGAGTCCCGATCAAAATGTTGTTGTTCACGCTCTATGGTCCCAGTAGAAGTCTCAGTCTCATGGTACGAAACTGTTACTTGGACCTCAACAGTAATCCCATCCCTTCGGCACGTCCTTCTTGCTTGGTTCTTCGCCTTTGTGATCGCCGCCTGCAGTCTCTGATCCTCCCTATCTCCTCTTGTCTTCCTCCCTTAACGTTAATCTTTAATTTTGCTTCATTGTCGTCAAAGTTCAAGATCGTAGTGATCCATGGGCCTTCCCCTATACTGGATCCCAATGTGTTAGGTGCCTCCAGCAGTCCGACCTATAGTCGTGCAGCCCCTTACAACAAGCCATAGCCACAACCTTTTTGGAATGGTCGAAGCTTAACACCAATAGCCACGGATACACGCTCACGTAACTTGTTGGGCAAGGTACTTCACTACTACACTCTACTATCCCGAGTTACAACCTCATGAATACAATGAGATCTCTAGCAAGAACTTATTGGCCAATAGAGGAGTATTCTAGCAGCTACTCTTTTATAAACACCCTGCGTTCTAAACAATGATCTGCGAATTAGTTTTAAACCACCAGTACCTCCACCAGTGTTAAGAAATTATGATGTCTTGGCCAGTACCCGAACTTTTCGAGGTGGGACAGAAGGTCGGCAATGTCCCATAAATCTGAATTTCATAGTGACGGAAAAAGGGGAAAAAAAATGCTTTCTCTACTGCAATGATGTCGGGCTGGGTAGTCCAGGAGGCCGTGCTCACAATCTTCCTCCACAGAATGCACCTTACAGGTAAGGCGGTCACATTCTGAATGTTACTGTTTTCTTTTTTTTCTTGGTCGTGTGTTTCTTATGAGTCCCCTGTCCGCGAGTTGCTCAAGCTGTTTGTGATCTGCTCAAGCTGTGTTTTGTCAGAGGATTGTAAGGCTTATCGCGTAGTGGAATCTATCCAGCCATTTTCACGGCCGGATCCATGTGCCCGTTTTTTCGCCCTTTTATTCTCTTTTTGGAATCTGACAACTTGGCCACGGGGCTGAGATGCCCTCACTGAGGGCACACTCACACTACCACTTCCAAGAATGTATACAACTGCAATACGGCCAAAGCTTAGTACCTTTTTTTTTTTTTCACTTTTCTGAGGTTCACGGCCGCAACTTTTCTTCTTTTTTGTTTTTTTTTGTTCTTTCCGTGAGAGTACCAGAAAGAAGACGGAGTGGTACCCAAGCTCGGCAAAACTCGGAGCGCAGTGAAATTCAGGGTCGGCAAAAACACGCTCGGAGGTACTGGTGCTTTAAATAAAATAATAATTAGAATTTGCAGATCATCGTTTATTAATAATCTACGATCTAAACAATTCATAATAATAGATTTTTAATATGAATAAAAGGAATATTACCCAGGATTACTTAGTACAACACGGTCGTTCCTGGAAACACAACTCTACGCTCCATACCTGTTGTCTTCTCAATTCAAATCGAAGTGACGGCAGGTTGGCATGCGGTGGTCCCATAATGGGATACCTACCGATACCTTCCCACCTTCAAAAGCAACCATCGATTTACCCTTGATAGGTACCCGTGTCCGATGGCAAGGATGGGGCTTACGACCTTTCACGGGGGGTGATAAGCATCCTACTAAAGCGGTCGCGGGTGCTCTTTGGAAGCCCCACTACACAACGCTTAGTAGACCGCGCCTACGATAAAATGAAATGTGAAGGGTCGGCCAGTCTAGGCCGCCCGCTTGTAATCACGATTCAAAGTTAACCATTCCTTCCCTGCAAAGTAACAGAAAGGAAGATCAAATTTAAATTGACTATAAAAGGGAGGGAAATACGTAATGCTACAATCACCCTAGACCTTTCAATTAAGCAAAAGCCGCAATCTAAAAACGACACTATTTCTTTTCCTTTCTTAATTTTCTTTCCCTTTTTTCCTTTTCTTTCCGAATGTGTCTGCTACCGTGTATCCCATACCCCAGTCAAAAAAGACTTGGCACGCAGTAGAAAGGCCCGCACCAGACCCTTAATCTCCATGTCCCTGGGCGAGCCCGACGACTACCACCATCATAGGCCGGTTGTGCTCTAATGTACATCAGGGCGTCGAGCCTACGTGGACCAATGGAAACTCTTGTGCGCACCCCCTCTTTTTGCCATGGGAGCGCCAACTGAATCAGTCCAAGAGCAGGTCGCGCATAGGACGAGCCTCATACATTACTAAAGTCAAAAGTGGGGTGTGCCTGGTACACCGCGCCCTCCGACAGGGCACGCAAAGCAGAAACTCACACTCCACGTGCGTCCATGGCAAAGG